TGATAGGATTTTAGGAAACAATAAAATGCCAAGAGTTTGGGGGGCTACATCTATACTCACTAGCTCAATTTCAATTAGAATTTACAAAACTGTGGAGGAAATTAAATTACAGTTATCAGAATATGCCAAAGGAATTGCTAGAACAGTTCAGTAGTCAAAGGCAGAAAAGGAAAAGTCAATTTGTCAGCAAATTGCAACAAGTCTTGCATTGTCTTTCTTCTGGAACTTAGCTGCCCTGACATTTAACCTCATACTTGTAATCTGACAGGGAGAGTATACAAGTAAAAAAAAAACTAAAAGCCATAGGGCGTAGGATAGACATTTTATTGGGTTCCTGTATGCCATATCACTTAAGCTGAGTATACACTAGTAGAATTTTGCTCAATATTTTTTGTTGTAAGAGCATTATTAGAATTTTTTCTTGTTTTATAATGATTGGTGGGGGTCCATTTTTGACTGCAATGATGAGAAAATTCAAAAGAAAAGGATGGAATTTTTTTTTTTAATATATGAATTTTTAACAGTGTGTGTGGTTTTTGTTTGGTAAAGTCATTTCAAATTTGAATGTTATAACAAATAAAATCTTGAATTAGTTTCAAATTGCATTCAAATATTCTGAGAAATTTTCAAATGAGTTTTCATTCAAAATTCTACTAATGTAAACCCAGCTTTACGAAAAGATTGGGTAACTATTATAGCTTATGCAGCCCACTAGTTTCTGGAGCTATAGCCTAACCAAGGCAGACCCCAGTCATTTCTGCATCTGCAACCTGGTTCACTTTAAAGCTGGCCATGGATGGATAAAATTTCAAATGAAAATTCATAGGGAACGTCTTAAAAAAATTGTATGCAAATTCATAGAACATTCAGTTGTGATTCAAAAGATTTCATTTGTTTTTAACATTTGATTTTGGAATGAATGGACTTTACCGAACAATGGCCACATACACTTTTAGAAATTTGTTGATTCAAGAAAAATGTTCCATCTTGCACCTTTGAATTTCCTTGTCACTGTGGTGAAAAATGAATGTCGATTTGACCCACTAATATTTAAAAAAATTAACAAACTTTCTCAGAACCTTCTTTTCCAAAGCTTAACTTTACATTAATGAGGGCCTTGCAGTTGGTTTGTTTATACTTAATTTGTGCCAGGGTCATCAAGACCTTAGTTTTCCTGATAAAATCAAGCCGGCAATAGATGATGCAATATTTTTGCCTGCATCCATGGGTTGCAGGAAAGAAAATCGCTCCATTCCTGCATCAACACAGAGAGTGTTGATGGGGGAATCCCTCACATTGAGCTATTGTGTCCTCTCGGCAGGGAGATGTGGGGGACGTGGAGGGGAGCCATCCCTGTCTGGAGAACACAGTGGTTATTGCTAGCAGCTATAGCCGCTGGCAATAATCACATGCAAAATCCAACAGGCTGGTTGTACCCAAGTCGTACAACAATCGATTTAGGTACAATCAGCCTGTCCATAGATGGCTCGAATCTTGACTGGTTCCTGCTGAGCTGGATTCAAACCATCTATGGCCAGCTTTAGATTTTGGTTCATTTCTCAATGTGAAAACCCATGAGGTAAAGTTGGGCATAGGTGATTAGAAAAACAAATTAAAGAAAAAATAGAAACGTTATTTTGATCTAACATTTTATGCCCCAGGCATTATTTTGGGTTTTCCAGCGAATATCAACATTTTTATGATCATTTTCCACATTAAATATTGTTTTTTTTCTGATCAATTTCTACTCCTAACCCTACTGCTCATGCACATTTCTCTTAATTTTTTTTTTTTTTAATGATTGACCTACAAGCAATTAGAAAATCATTTGTTCATTTTCTAACTTGAAAAGGAAATCAATTGTTACAGTAAGCACACCATATGAAACCATATGAAAATTTTATGATTGGTCTAATGACCAATTTGTTCAATTTTTATCCATGTATAGATAGCTTAAGACTAGACCTTGAAAGCAATTCAAGAGCGAAGATTTAAATGATTACAAATGCCCCTTAGTGACTAGTTCTCTTTATTTCAATCTTGCTAAAATTGTGTGTACTCATTCCTGTGAGGTACAATTCTTGTTTTGCTTCATTTATATTCCCATTTATTTTATCCAAAGGCCAAGGCATTAGAAATACTTCTCAAAGTTTTCATGGAAAGTCAGACTGAGAAAAGAATGAATCTGCAGTTTTTCCCGCACATAAAACAAAGTTTACTGATGGCCGATAACACAGCCTTTAACTGTCAGATATTCTTTATGGTGCTCCGTTACTCTATACATAATGGGGCGAGGGCCCTATGATTCTGCAATATTTTTTCCCACGGAATTGTGATTAACGGAGCCTCTGACAAATCTATAATAATTCCTGGTGAAGGATTGCGAAAAATAACATACCTTATGTGATGGTTATAGCTTTCCAGCCTGTCACGTTGTGCCAAGAACTAAATTAAGAAATATACGAATGGGCTCAGATTATGAATTAATATTACAATATCAGCCAGGGATACTAGCTTAGAAGAATGAAAGGGAACTTGATGTTAATAAAGTGCCATGCTTTAGAGGCATGTACACAAATTTACATTTGAAATCTCAGTTTAATTTAGTGGTAGGGGAAAATATATCCACATTTCTACATTAATGACAAATACAATTGAATGTGTATATTGGAAAAAACTAACAGAAATGAATTCCCTGTAGATTTAAAAAGAAGTGTTCAAGACTGATGAGGCAATCAGAATGAGAGGTCATGTGAAGTCTGACAGTTGTTAACCTATCGATTGCCTGGCCCCACTTTTTGCTCAGGTAATGGGCAGCAAATACCAGATTTCTGGTGATGTATGACCCCTAATATTCCTGCTGTGTCAAGCTTAGAGTAAGCCAAGTAAGGGAGAAAAATTAAAATCCATTACCATTCAGGACACAGTCTCTTTAATTTGCCTAGGATATTAGGTGAATGTGTAGTATTTTATTCTCTTAAGACATTCTGTTGATTTGTATGTAATTTTGTGGTTAAAGTCTATTAACAAGGCTTCCTTGTGTACTCTCAATTGCTCATCAAAAGCAGTTGGAAGATATAAAGAGAAAGGATAAAAAAGGTGGTGTGGTATTGGGGTGATTATACTCATGGGGAAGATGTTTTTTCCAATGTGTTGTGCCAGTCCAAACTATATTTTAGGGCCTGGCAGCCCACTTTTATTAACTCCTTCCCATCTGGCCTATTGTAGGATGACAGCCAAGCAGGATCCCTATTATCCTGGAAGGATATGAGGTCCTCCCAGGATTTTGCCTTGTGTGCGCCCCAAGGGCCGCGCTCCAGCGCGAACTGTCACCGGCTGTGTCCACCGGAAATGGGAGATGACAGATCAATGCACCGGCCCACTGCCAGTGTCATGTTATCGCTGTGACAAATCACAGCAGAGCACGTGACAGTTGTAAACAATGAATGGCTTCCTTTCATGCCATTCATTGCTTACAACTGTGATTGGTCACAGTTGTCACATGTACAGACTAGGCCAAACACAGCCCATCTGTAACATGTGACAGCTGTGGCCAATCACAGCTGATCACAACAAAATCTTCTAAATTAATCAGTTTCATTCAGTAAAAATGCTTGCATATACCAATGAAATTCGTTGGTATAAGCAATCATGATGTGTAAAAAAAAGATGATCACCGCTGCACCAGTTATATGACGCTGTACTGCATTGGTGACAGTATGTAAAAAAGAAAAATTGTGAAAACATTTTTTTCATTTCTTCATTTTCCACTAAATTATGACAAACAATGACAACTTCAAAAAACTCACCATGCCTCCTATTAAATACCTCAGACTGTCTACTTTTCTAAAAGCGGCTATTTGGGGGGTATTTTTACTGTTCTGCCAATTTTGGGTCTCAAGAAATACATCAAGATTTATCGATTTTTAGATATATACCATAGTTTGTGGACTCTATAACTTTCCTACCAGCCTATTAATAAACACTGATTTGGGTTATTTTCACCAAATAGCTGAATACATTTTAGCCTAAATTTATGTAGAAAGATCATTTTTTGCAAAAGTTTACAGAAGAAACTAAGAAAAACACATTTTTTCAAAATGTTCTGCCTTTTTCATTTATAGCGCAAAAAATAAAAAACCCAGTGGTGATTAAATACCACCAAAATAAATCTCTATTTGTCTGAAAAAAATGATACAAATTTCATAGGGGTACAGTGTTACATGACCGTGCAATTGTCATTCAAAGTGAAAATTGGCCTAGGCAGGAAGGGGGTAAAAGTGCCCAGTAGGCAAGTGGTTAAACTGAAAGGAAAGTTCACAAACAAATCAGTTGCCCATACAGGGGTTTTTCCACATCAGCATGTCAACTGAAAATACCTAGCCATCTGGCTCCCCTTTTCAGTAGTAGTCTTCTTACAAGCCCCTTGTAATTGTCAGCTCTCCTGGTTCTCTCAACTCACTCAGCCTTTAGTCGCACGGCCTACTCCAGTCCAGACACTCCAATAGAAGCCTACCTGACTCCTGAGGCAAGACATCCTGTCTCCTGGCTGCTAGCTGGGGCACCTCTGTCCCCTAGTTGAATCCCCAATATGGGAGCCTGAGCTTTCCTCAGGTTTGGCTTATAATGACCCTGCACACCTATTTAGACAGACTGGAGGCATCTAGTAAAACCCAGACACAAGAAGGGAGGGTCCATCCTACCCAAGACACTTTGGAACCTTCAAGCTCCAGGTTCCAATTTAGGACTACAGAACCAGGTAAAAGCCAAAAACACAGCTTTCACCACTCAGAAATGATAGACTGGAGGTTCGCATTAAGCCTTACTTCTTTGTCATTTTCTCCTACATTTTCACAGTGGCAGGGCATCACACTATCACAGGTGGATATGACTTCTCAAAAGTCACAATGGAAAGAAGGACCTCATTTGATAAGCTTAGTTAGAGTTCAACTGCCACCTCTGTCGAGTTGTTGTGTCTCATCCAGGGGCAGACTGACAACTCATGGGGCCCCCGGGCAATAGGGGATCATGGGGCCCCTGTGTCCTTGCCCAAACTCAAAAAAGCCTATGAAAAAGGTACCAGGGGCATCTCATGGGGCCCCCTACTGACCCCGGGCCCTCGGGCAGTGCCCGAGTTTCCAAATGGTCAGTCCGCTCCTGGTCTCATCATATTAGTTCACATTACATTACAAAATGCTTCATTTCAACTGATGCACATAGAGCTCTGGACGGGTGTCATATTGTATAAAATTGGTTGATATAGCTCTTGTGAGAGAACCACTGAAAAGACAACTTTGGCTAGGAAAAGGTATTGTACGTTCCTGGGAAAATTGAGATGTGAAGGGTAATCCTATCACTGCTGTAGTTCTTGAAGGTGGCTGCCTTCAAAGGGGTCTCTTGCAAAGTCTTACAAAGCTTTGGGAAGCTAGGTCATAGTGTGTTATGGAAAGACAAGGTGGCAGCAAGGTGTCAATGAATAAATACAGTATGCTTGTATGCAGGCGTTGGTCTACAGTTTGTCCACCAACTTGAATGAGGCACTGTGCCACTTTCTCATGCTGGAATCCACTGGGGACTAATTTGTTCCCCATTATGGGCTCCATCCAAGCTGTCATCTTGGAGAGGCCTACATCTCTAATTTGGATGTTGGATTGTGAAATCCCATGAGATTTGGACAGCCATTTATTTTTTATTTTGTATTATTTAACTATTTGTATTATTATACTATTGAAAATGTCTCCTATGGACAGACATTACCTTTCTGCTGGAAGAAGTGTGTAACCCATTACCTATGTGGTGCCATTTCTGTAAACAACCTTATTTCTGTTATCATGAAATTTCTATGATATAGTCCTTTTATAAACATCAACGTATGTGGACTTCTTGCTTTTACATGCACTTAGCTTGTGTTTGAAAAAACCTAAAAGCATTGATCTCAGAGTTCATCCACAGGTGCATTTCACCTACTTTTGTGCTCCTTCAAAGTCGCATCACCCTGTTTCAAGCTGCTTTTGTGTTTTTTTTTTACTTGTATGGGGTAAGAAGCAGTTCTGAACTACAGCCCACTGACAAAAGTCCTTCTCGGAAGCCAAGATATGGTTGTGAAAGTGGCAAATGTCTCCAAAGTGTTGCACAGGGATGGTGCTGGTCCCTTAGTGAGTAGTTATTAAATGTCAAGGAGGCTGAACTACAGCAAGTCCTAAAGTGGAACCTAACTGTATTTGAGTACCAAAAACTGAAAACACTATTTAATTAATTTTTAATATTTAAAGCAAACTCACCCATCCATCCATGTCTCCATGCTTTATTTTGATGTGAAACTGCTTTGAAAACCACCCCCTAGCATTTCTAGCTCTGGCCATCTTGAGTAAGGGCAGATGATTCATGTAGCATTTACTTCCTGGAATCAATCTGTCCTTAGCTCAGTCAGGAGCACAGTCAGGAAGCAACTAAAAAAATGTAAAAAAAAAAAAGTTGAAAACAAGTAAATATAATATACCTTTCTATCTATTTATTAATGCTAGCAGTATAAGGATTAAAAAAGTAAATGTTGATTGAGAGAGTTTATAAAATACAACTAAAGGCAAACTTTTTTTGTGTTGTATAGAGTGGAGCAGGGGCGGACTGACAACTCATGGGGTCCCCGGGCAATAGGGGATCATGGGGCCCCTGTGTCCTTGCCCAAACTCAAAAAAGCCTATGAAAAAGGTACCAGGGGCATCTCATGGGGCCCCCTACTGACCCTGGGCCCTCGGGCAGTGCCCGAGTTTCCAAATGGTCAGTGGAGAAAGATTAAAACACGTCAGGTTTTTATTGCTGTCATTGCCTCCATTACATATATTCACCCTTTCTATTGTCCTGTTTATATTTATCATTGAAAGAAAAAGAAAATCCCAAATTTTGGGTTATCACCAGAATAGAAATAGAAAGGAGACCTTTCAAAAGGGACACTAGTTCTGGTAACAGCTAGGGATTCCCTCACTCTGGAGGGATTTTTTCTTACTTCCTTTTTTGGCTATGGGACAGGAAGTGAAGGGAAATCTCCCTGTAGGCAGGTGCAGTCTCCTTTCTTCACTGCAGGTGGCGCTCAACCGCACTGGCATTGCAGGTGGAGAAGGAGTCAGGAAGAAACTGCTCCTCTATGGTTTCCTAAGTTACTGAGGAAGCAATACGGTTGAATGCTGCTGCCTCATGTGACTCTCGTGGCCATCTTGGGTGAGGCAGAGTCTTTTTAAGACTCTGACTTCTAGGCTTGGCACGCATCTTGCGAGTGGACAGTGCAGGGACACGTTACCTGTCTGTCAGGGAAAGTGAGTAGCTGTAGGAAAAGGTTCTGGATGCATAGGGACAGGATAGGGACATGCTATCCTTTCCAGGAATCCTCCTGTTTGGGCACAGGCTGGCTAGACCGCACTTCACCACAGAGACAGATGCTTTCGGAACAGCAGGACCTCTCTGCTCCTCATTATTGTTCAGAACTGTGAGTGTTTCCAGTCGCTTGTATCTTTGGGCTGTGACTTCAATACAAGTTCTGTTATTTGCACCTGTACTCAGTGTGTTTACTGCCGCCGCACCATGCTGCACCTACCCACATCCTTGCCTTCAGTTCTACTTTAAGTATTCAGGGCTATTGGTGCATCTAACACTTTGGAACATTAGCAGTTACATGGGTTACATCCTACCTCTCTTCACAACATTCTGGTGCAAGTATTGCCAAACGTTACAGATTTTCTACTTGAACTATGAGCTACATAACCCTATGTATTTAAACCAGATGTAGATCCTGTAATTCAGTCAAAGCCTCATCCCTTTCATAAAGTCCTGTCCCATACAGGCCACAGCATGCCCACTAGGTTATTCTACCATGACACCTATTTGGTATAAGTGAAGGAACAAGCTTTCCTACCTTCAAACATGTCTCAATATTCTTTCATGAACAGTTGAGTTGCATTATTTTTTTATGACGCTTAAATTGGCATAAAAGGATTGATTAATTGATTTATCTAAATGCTTTTCCACCACCCCCGTTCATCTGCACACAAAGCATGACAAAATCAATTTCTCTCCCTAATAGCCTTTTGTTTTGGGTGATGTAGCTGTTTGCTGGCGCAAAGGGCAAGCCAGTGTTCCACGAAGCCAACTGGCTATATCAGGTTGACACATAAATACCATGATTAATTTATGAGCATGTAATGAAAGATCTGAGAAGAATTAATTTGATGGATTTCAAAAGCTGTTGTGTTCATCATTTCTGGACGCACTCCCTTGCAGATCATCCAGTTTATGATGAATCTCTGCCCTTCCAGAAGCCGTATATTTACCAAAGGGTAAAAGAGATATTTTGTCCTTGAAGATACAATTTATATATATATATTTTTTTAACCGTCACATTGTGGCTTACCCATTGATCCGGAGGTAGGATGTTTATATGTGTACTTAGATGACTTTGGCTTCCTTGTGTAGGCTGCTCCCATGAGGCTTGCACTAATCACTCTGTTCTCAAGAAACATTAATAAGAACGTCTGGTGAAATGATTCTGTTTGTAAATGTGTTGTTTTTGGTGTGTTTTGAGTGAACTTGTGTTTTGCCTATGGAATGGCTTGGAGGTATGCTGTCGGGAGCTTTTGATCTTTGTATGGGCACCCAGGTCAGACAGGTCCCAGGGGATGAGTCAGACCAAGAATGATACCCTGGTCTTCCAGGTTGAAAATTGGGCTATCTGCCCCATTCTTTAAAAAAATTAAAACATTTTTTATCTTTTATTATTTTTTTAATACCTGGCCTAAAGCAAACTGCTCATTTAAAGCAAAGCGAAGTTTGATTTATTCCCTTAGAGCTGATTTACACATGTGCGGTGCGGATTGAAGCTCAGGTTTCACAACTAATTGATACAGTAGCTGATCACAGATTCATGTCAGGTTTACATCAGGTTCAGGACATGAGTAGCTCAGGATCATATCCTGTTCACAGATGTGCAGTTTAGAAACAGTTCTCATAGAAGTCAATAGCCTGTAATCTGCACCTGAACCTGAAGGCACTGCTCAGAAATCGCACAATTCTTTTTCAAAATGCACTGAAACTGCACTGAATAAGCACCACCAGTGCACCGGAAATATGTGAACAGGCACCAAAGAAAGCAATGTTTTTTCACATCTTGCGGATTGGATGCGGTTCAAATCGCATCCAATCTGTATATATCTGAACTGTGACTTATACTGTATAACCCCTGCATCTTCTAACCTTTCATTCCTTCCCCCGCTGATCCTTTCAGCAAGACTGCACTCTATCACAACACAGGAGAGCATTTTTATGGCATCTTCAGCCATAAGAATGATGTTGCCAGCAGTTTAAGAAAGTGAATAGAAGCCAAGGTCCAAGGTGAGAAATGTCTTTGTTTTTGGGGTGTTTTTTCAATTCTTTTTATTTTTTATGTGGCTTTAAGTGTTTTAATTTTGGGGTGGGGACAGTCAGCATAGCGGCCCATCATTTTCATGCAAGGTTCACTTTATACAAATTTCCATTCAAATTTCTATTTGGGTCATCTATGTATTTCGGTAAGGTGATGTTATCACCTATTTGGAATGGTTAACATATTCGGCTAACTTTTTCTTTGTTTGCAATTCAGGTCCTCATTTTAATTACCGGTAATATGTACAAATAAATGTTAGTCATTTCAAAAATAATTTTCAGATGCATTTTACAATATGAACTCAAGGTGAGTATGCTATAAAACTACAATATTCTTCTCTTTCGATGGACATAATCAGATTTACTTTTTGGCAAGTATTGAAAGTGGGCTGTGTACATCCACACCAATACACTTAGCTAACATGGCTACTGTATTATTTATGCACTTTGTCCTAATTTTACTACACCGGGAACATATGAATTTATGAAGTCATGTCTAAACTCTTATTTTTCACAATTTACCATAACGCTTTAATTTAATGGCTGCAGAGAATCTTGTATTGATCATGCAGTTGTGGCTGTCTATCACCTTTAAGGTGAATCAATAAAGCACCTTACCTCCTCTCTCTTTCAATAGCACTGACTCATTTAACAGCCCTGTTTGATGGTAGTTTCTTTCGGGATCCGCAATTGTCGCCATATGTCCTAAACACTGCTCTTTCTCTATTTGATTTGGGGCTAGTTTCAGAACAAATAGTGAAATTGATGTTAGCAGGATCTTGGATTGGATTGAAAGGGAACCTGGAGGAAAAATATTAAAAAATATAAACCCCTACCTGTACTAAACAATCATATCTTTG